ATATGTATATATATATATATATATATGTGTGTGTGTGTGTGTGTGTGTGTGTGTGTGTGTGTATATATATATATTGGATAATTTAAAAAGTATCCGCGGTTTTTTGTCATCAGATGTTGATAGTTATTTATCGATGGTTATATATCGGGCAACACTAATCCGATTGTATCAAACGAACGCGCGTCTGAAAGATGACATTTTAGGTTATATTTTTATAAACAAAGTTTGGTAATTCATCGTGTCAAAAGTTATATTGATTTGAAAATGAGTGAAATTTCTGAAGAAATATGTGATGCTTTTTTACTACAAAAAGGCAAAAACACAGCACAAACATGCAGAAAAATTTGTGAAGTTTACGACGCGGATGCTGCAAATGAACGCAGGACGCAGGAGTGGTTTGTTCGATTTAGTTCTGGGAATTTTGATGTCAAGATCGACCTCGTTCTGGTCGGCCAGTCACTGAAAAAGTCGATGAAATTGTGCAACTGGTCGAGCAAGACCGGCATGTGAGCTGTCAGGAGATAGCCAATGCACTAAGAATCAATCATGTGACAGTTTGGAATCATTTGAAAAAGATTATGCAAAGAAACTCGATGTTCGGGTGCAACATAAATTAACGCAAAGAAATTTGATTGATCGAATTTCCATCAGCGAAACACTACTAAAACGCAACGAAATTAACCCATTTCTGAAGCAAATCATCATGGGCGAAAAATGGGTAAAATACAAGAATATCGTTCGTAAAAGATCATGGGATAAGCGCGGCGAACCACCACAAACGATTTCAAAGCCTGGATTGACGGCAAATAAGGTGATGCTGTGTATGGTGGGATTGGAAGGGAGTAGTCCATCATGAAGTGTTACCACATGGCCTAATGATTAATTCAGAGCTCTACTGTTCACAACTGGATAGATTACAGGAAGCGATTAAGGAAAAATCAGAATTGATAACAAAAAAGGTGTTGTCTTCCATCATGACAACGCCAGACCACACACATCTTTGTGATGATGCGCCAAAAATTGAGGGAGCTTGGAAAGTTTTGATATATCCACCGTATAGCCCGGATCTTGCACCGTCTGACTACCATTTGTTTCGATTTCTGCAGAACTTTCTTGATGGAAAAACATTGGCCGACAAAAGAGTTGCCGAAAATCACTTGAAAAAGTTTTTCGCTGATAAACCACAGAAGTTCTACACGGATAGAATTATGAAATTACCTGAAAAATGACAAAAGATTATAGATAATAATGGCCAATATATACTTGATTAAAATTGATTTTCAATAATGAAAAATTTCATTCAAAAATTGAACAAAAAACCGCGGATACTTTTTAAATGACCAAGTATACAATATATACATACATACATACATACATACATACACAGAATATATATCGTAAAGTGTTACAAACTATTATCTTTGAAAATATGTGCCAATTGAAGAATATATATTCAGACAAAGATTTTATGACTTCGAGGAGGACGAGATAGAATCATTGGTTTGACCTTGGCAAAGCCAAGGTCAGAGCAAAGATGATTGATTACTTTGATATTTTTTAATGAAACCTTCCATTTTTCATTACATATTCTCATAGTACATCTCGAGAGCTTTCCAAAACACTATAATATAATATACATTATGAAATACTTTTCGAATTATAAAGCTTGAAAGCATAAAGAATAGAGACCAGGAGATTGAACTAGGATTTCAGAAAATGTTAGCAAAATTAAGTTCTGAATTAGTATTGATGCTCCATAGGCTTTAAATCGCAAAACTCCTCTCATGTTACGCGCACAGAATCACACACAATAATCAAAGAATACAGACATTATTTTTTCATCATGCTTTGATAATAATAGGAAAATGTAAATTATCATTAAAACTACATAAAGAATAGAGCATTCTTCATGTAAAGCTGATGCGATCTACCATGCAAACTGCGAGAACGTATCGTGGAACGGAAACGACGTCTTGATCAAACTAATGTATAATGTATAATGTATAATGTATATGATTACTTTTGGATAATCTGACAGCATCATCCATATAGTTCGGTTTCCTGGTCTGTATTTTTTATGCTTGAAAGTTACAATGTCGCTGGCATATTTGCATTACTCAAATTGTCTAAACTTTGGCTAAAATCTCTTAAATATTGTTCAGGATCATGACTTTGATAGTATTTGTTAAGAGGCTAATGTAAATTATTTCTTTTCATTTTTACACTAAAAATTCTACGTAAAAATAAGAAACCTTCAATGGTCTTGAGATTAACCAAGAATAGAAGCCAGAAGATCAAATTTATATAGATAAAGGCACTAGCCCATACAACACAGAACGTTGAAAGAATGTTACTGATATATTGAATGTTGAAGTGTCAATGTTTTAGTGTTGTATTTATATTGATTCTTCAACATGATTGATTGTTAATATTGTTGTAAAATTGATACAATATTGAACAAATTGGATCACAAGTTGAATTTTTATTGATTTTTCTATATTGATTGTTAATGTTGCTACAACATTGAAATAACATTGAATAAATTATATATCAACATCTATTTTATTTTGTAAAAAATGAACAAAAATAAAATGTCATATAAATAGAAAATTTAAATTATTTATAATGATTTTTCAACAAAATTTATTTCTAAACGATATATATTTATGCGAGAATTAACCGTGCAAAACCCTAATAGCAAAGAAGGATTTCTGTAATGTTGACAAACACACATACAAACATTAAAATATTGAAATATCATAGTTACATTGCGTAATATTTCTGAGAAGTCTCTACAAGATTGTGACAACGTCAAAATGGCTTTTATCAACATGAAACGTTTCTGAAATATTACGAAAACGTTTGTAAAATCTTTCAGTGATGTTGGTGTCCTTCAGTTTCATTTGTAACATTGCAGAAATATAAAAAAAATGTATATATGCGGGCAGAGCTAGGTAAAATACATTATTAAAGTATTTACAATATAAAATACTGTCAACCTTAATCAATATTTGAATTACAAAATATAAAATATTTTCAACTTTTGATTTGAAATACAAATTATTTCGAATCAAAAGACTGAAAGTAATTTATACTTTGTAATTCAAATACTAATTAATATAATTGACAGTATTTACCATTTTATATTTAAGTATTTTAATGATATATTTTGCCCAGCTCCGTATGCGCGCGGGAATAAATATTGTTAATAAAAAATCAAATAATTTATTAAATCACAATATTCTTATTCTTATGTTATTAAGTCACAATAGATTTATTTGAATAATATATTGTTAAATCAGAAGTACCTCGCGTATAATCATCTTTAAAAAAAAATCTTATTTCAAAACGAAAGAATAAAAAGTATGAGGAGAAATCTTTGTCAACTCGTTATAATCGCTTTACTTTTGGCTGTATATAATATATTATCCTAAGTGAAAATTTCATGTGAGACAATACTGGATATTGGCAAAGTACCGATCTTGTATTGAAAAATGAATACTTCAGTCACAGTATAAACCATACAGTAGCACAATTCTCTGTCGGCACCTTTAATGATAGTATTGGCTAAAATGGAGTATGCATGCGCGAAATAAGTAAGTTTCCTAACAATGCCATCTGAATTTCTTTCTTAGTTGCTCTTTATTTTTCCGCTTTCTCTCTCTCTCTCTCTCTCTCATTGCAAAACAAAATAAATAATAAGAAAATATAAAATTATATAAATGTATGATAGAAATATTATGATATACTATAAAAATATTTTAATTAATGACTGTGCCATGATGCTTTCCTGTTAGATCGCTTGCGTTTTAATAAATTATTATAATTGCATCACACAGAACGCAGATTTTCTAGCTAAAACGATAGCAATCCAGCAATTATACATGTCATTCGCAGTATTTAAGCGAGACTGACAAAATTGGTATGTTTGCAGATGTGTGTGTGTGTGTGTGTGTGTGTGTGTGTGTGTGTGTGTGTGTGTGTGTGTGTGTGTGTGTGTG